AACTTCCTCTTCTACTGCCTCAGCATGGATTAGTGTCGGCCTTCTTGCTCGTTGGATGACAGGTTTGGCCGACCTATCTACATTCAGTCTGTGGCAAGTGACCTCGGGGTCAATGCCTGGCATCTCGTATGGTGTCCATGCAAACACTTCAAGGTTTGCTCTCAAGAATCTCTAGCTCATTTTTCTCTTATTTGGCTAAGCTCGAGCCGAGAAGAAAGAAGCGTTCCTCATCCCCTTGCTGGACAAGGATTTTTCTTCAGGGCTTCTTCACTCTTCTTGGCTGGCTCTTTGCCGACGTCATCCAGGATTTCTACATTCTCGTCCTCGATCTCTGCTATTTTTACTTCTCGTATGTTGCAGGTAGACTTCATTGCTGCCATGGAGCAATTATTTACCTACAACTGATCCCCTCTAACCTCCTCTACTCTATGTTCTGTTGGGAACCATAATAGCTGATGCAATGTTGAGGGAACAACCCCCATTGCATGTAGCCATGGCCTTCCCATGATAGCATTGTAAGGGGAAGGGGTGTCGATTATGGTGAACTCTGTTTTTAGCTTCTTGGTGCCAGCCTGTACCTCCAAACTTGCTGCTTCCAGGGGCTACGTCGGCGTCCCATTGAACCCAACCATTGGGCCATTGAACTGCTCCAAGTCATCTTGGTGAAGGCCAAGCTCCTTGTAACACCTGACGTACATGATGTCACAAGAGCTGCCTTGGTCAACTAAGATGCCCTTCATTTGGCACTCTCCAATCTGGAGGGATATTACCAAGGCATCGTTATGTGGATGTTGCACCATCTCCAGGTCTTCCTCAGTAAAGGACACCACTGGTCCCTGGCTCTTGTCTACCCTAGGTCTCTTCTTCCCGACCTGATACACATGTTGTAGGTGCTTTACTTTTTGGGTTTCCTCCCTTATCTCATTCTCATTCACCTTCAAGTGAATTACATTGATCACTCGAGGTCCGCCTACCTGTGGTTGTGGTGCTGGTGGGGGTGGTGCTGTTGGTGCCTGGGGCAGTCTTGCCTGCTCTGCTCTTGTCCTGGCCTCGTTCACCAGGTCTCTTAAATGGCCTTGTCTTACCAGGTCTTCCAGATGTGTCTTCAGGGCTCTACACCCCTGAGTTAGATGTCCAGCCTCATTGTGGTAAGCACAGTGCTTGCCAAGGCTCCTTCCCATGAATTTGCCTGGTGCCCTTGCTGGTGTTCTGTAATAGGGCTGATTTCGGATTTTCTCCAAGACTTTGTAAACCAGAATTCGGAATACGGTTGTGACTGCCTGAGAAGCCCTTAATCCTGTTTCTGGTTTGTTGTAGCCACCATCACCTCGGCCTCGCTTCGGCGAGCCGTTTTTCTTCTCTGGTTTCAGCGCCTTTGTCCTCGGCGTATCCTTCTCGGCCCTAGCATACTTTTCTATCCTAGCCATAAGGTCCTCCATGCTTTTTGGCAATGTCTTTGCTAGTGATTTCCGAAGCGGATAGTCATCTTTCAAGCCGTTCTTAAATGACACAACCACCACCTCTTGGTTGCATCCTGGTATTCGGTTGAATACCTCATAATACCTTTTGGCATAGGCCCTAAGGCTTTCGTTCTCGCTAATTCTTAGGGCCATCAGGGTGTCCACCCTTAATGGCTGCAGTTTGTTTGTCACGAACCTGGCCACAAACATCTCGGCCAGGCCTTCCCAAGTTTTCATAGTTTCTTTCTGCAACTTGTGAAACCAGTCTGATGCAATTTCTCCGAAGGATGAGGGGAACACCTTGCAAAGCAACGGCTTATTCCTGGTGTATAACGCCATCGAGTTCAGGTACAAACCAACGTGAAAGTTGGGGTCCGACTTACCATCGTAGATCTGGAATCTCGGCATGCTAAACCTCTTCGGGGCTTCGAATTTGTCCAATTCTACCGAGAACGGCATTCTCGGCTTGACTGGGGAGGTTACCTCGACATCTTGTTGCTTCCTTTATAGGTAATCCTTTAGATCCTCCTTGGTCCGTCCAGGAGCTCGGCTATCTCCTGACTTCAGCTTTTTCGGTGCACTACTCCCAGTTTCATTGTGAGCCCTCTTCGACCTTTCTCCATTAGCTGCGTCGAAGCACAACTCCTGCCCTTGAACATGCCGATGTTCTTTGGGGTCAGCTTCCTTGGTGCGATGCGTCCTCTTAGATTATTCCCTTCTTGACTCTCCTCGCCCCACCTCCTTTAAAGGCCAGTGAGAGTGTTTTTCGGTGCTGGTGTGCTGGGGGGCTGTAAGGACTGTTTTCTGCCCATCTTTTCGGGCATCTTTCTTGGTCGTTGGAATCGGAGTATCTTGCAATGGGAACGGTGGCTGTATGACATAGTTCTGCATCATGAAGTTGACGACCGTTTGCAGGTCCGCCAATTTGTTTTCCATTCCCTTCATCTCATCGTCCCTCCGCAGGCATCTTTCTTTCCACACCCGGAGGTCGTCCTCGTAATAATACCCGCTTCGGTCTGATTTCTTTGATGTGTTGCCCTCCTGGCCGACGTCTTTTTCTCCGTGATTCTTATCTCGAGTCTCTTTGTTGCAGTTGTCTTCTTCGACGTGAAGGTCAATAGGTTTCCAACTCTCAGAAGGAATGTCGTCCCCAACCTTCTCTTTTTGTTCGTTATTGGCCATCTATTCTCTTTTCTTTCCCACAGACAGCGCCAAATTGTGTGTGTCAATTTCCGACCACACTGCCAAACAAGTATTCAACTAGAGAGCACTGGTAGAATAGATGGCGCTTGAATGACCTGTAACAGAAAGATGAGATTTCGGCGGTGGTTCGTCCACCCGGGGGCACTCCGACGATCAAGTCAGTTATCTCTCAAAGATAGCCAAAGGGCTTAACTCACTATTCAAAATATAAAAAGCGTACCTTAGACCCACGAGGGTGGCTCCTTTTTATAGTCAACATAATCCTAGTCTCAATAGAAGCCTACTTTCGATGGACTTAGGATTATTGCTAATCTTGGACTCCTAGTAGGATTAGGATAAACTCTCTAAGAGTCTTTATGTTTACCCAAACTGAAGTTTTTTCCCATTTTAGGACTCGTCCCTTATCCGCTTATCCCAGATTCCGATATTCTCGCAGATAACCTCGGCCTAGCCGAGATCATCTCGGCATCATGACCAGGACACGTGGTACCTCGGCTGGCACTTCGGTGATACCTCGGCCACGTGTCGTTATTCAAGATTTATGTCTCCACAAAACATACATTGAATAATTATAAATAGATTGTATATGAATTTTTAGTGTTTAAAAATTACTTTTTTAATGTAATTTTGTATGATTTTATTGTTGCTTCATATTATTTGAAAAAATAGAGTTGAAACTTAAAGGAAAAATTATAAATATATTTTTGAGATTTGCTTAAAATGTGGATTTCTCTTTATAGTTTGGAAAATTATAAATACCCATTTGCATAGTTTTTTTATTTAATAGAATTAACTAAAAAAATGAATTTTTTAATTGTTTTCTTATACAATAATAAAATTACTTACATTATTAATTAAAATAAATTTATGATAACATTAAAAATTATTAATTGATTTGATGATTTATTAATAAAATGGGTCAATTGTTATGAAATTCAAAATATCAAGAGGCGAAATGTAATTTTCAAAATTACATAAGACAATTCATATTTTGAGCAAACCTTAAGGAGTGTAATTGTAATTTATCTAATATTGTAAAATATTGTTTTCGGGCACAATGGGTCCAACAGGTCATGTTGGTAGGATCTCATTGGGCCGGATTGTTCATAAACTTCTTCTCCTTCTTGTTATGGAGATTGGGCATAGTCAAGTGTAAATTTGGAATTAGATTGGACCCTCTCTATTAATATTTTAAGATATAGCCCAAAATAAATCTAAACAACTCAAATAAACTCAAGTTTTGTGTCCCAATTAATAAAAGTTGACTACTTATATTGAGTTTTAGGGGTTGTTTGAGATGTTCTAAATAAATGTACTTTTTGACTTTTTAGACTAAAAAATTGAAGAAAAAAATATGAATGTTTGGATTAACTTTTTGACTTTTTATGAAAAAATTGTATAAATTAGTGTGTAAGAAAAAATTAAGATTAAGAGTTGTGCAGCCGTAATTTTTGACTTTTGGTGAATAGTGATAACTTTTTGACTTTTTGAGTAACTTTTTGACTTTTTGACAACTTACCAAACTTGGCCTTAGTGGAAAATCCCTCTTGATGGACTTGTTCTCCATTTGGTCCATTACATATTCTTGTATCCTAATTTTTGTCAATGATTATATGCTCATTTAAAATTTAACAAATTTATATACATTTTTTTACTATAAAATTCTATGTCAATGTCAATTTAAGATTATTTGTTGGATTATAACCAAGCCCCTTTGGGATAGGATAATATTTGTTATGTAAGTTATTCAATCCAGTGTTTGATGGTGCAATGGATACAGTTTTAACAAGTGATGTCCTTGGTTTGTTTTTGTAACACTGTTTAATTGTGAAAATGTCTTTGGAGTTACCAAACAAAATTTAATTGTATATTTGTAAAAGAAATATAATTTATAAAGAACAAATATAGCCCAAACTATTACATCATTCTAAATAAATAAAATTCTAAATTGAATCCAAATGCTACATCAATTGAACTCCAATCTATGTTTCATTAACAACCTTTAAGCTCACAAAATGCACACTACAATAAATCAACAACTTTTCACACCCATCATTCACAAATACATGAATATTGGTTCCCCAATTTCTAAATCACTTCTTTTAACAATCAATAGAAGGAGAATAAGGGGAAAGAGACGAGACATCTTTAGTCTTAAATCTCTTTTATCTCTCTGTCTCAATGAATTTCTAATCATAAAATTCTATGAGAATTTCAAGACATAAGGGTCTCAAACATGACCTAGTGACAAGAGAGTAGCGACAAGGTTAGACCACTTGAGTTGCACCAATGGAGGTCTTTTGATGAATCGTATCATCGGCGTAGACTCCATGTCTGGTTGCATCATACTTCTCCCCATCACCCCATAACGCGTACGCTTCCTCCCCATGCACTGCATCGTCACCAATCTTCAACTGTTCATCAGTCATTCGCAACGGAATCACCAACCTAATCACAACACAAATGATCGATGTGATCACGAGGTTCCACCCGATAATAAATAAGCCACCGGCGATTTGTTTGAGGAATTGGATTCCACCAGAGCCGCCATAGACGCCGCCTCTAGAGTTTGTGACGGGCAAGAAGAGGGCGCAAAGTGTGGGCTCTGCAAAGAGGCCGGTGAGGGTGCCACCGAGGAAGCCAGCGACAGCGTGGGTGTGGAAGACACCGAGTGTGTCGTCGATTTGCTGGAGCGGTGTCCACCTCTTGTGAATTATCATCATTGTGAACCATGGAACACTGCCTGATAGAATTCCCATGACTATGGCAGCCCATCCTTGAACAAGACCTAAACATATATATGTGTGACAAATTGATGAAATTGAAGCGAGATTTTATAAATAACAGTTGGTTAAGGTTGTAAATAAATTAAGTTAAGTTTTTTAGCTCAGTTTGTTTGAGAGTTAAAATTTTAAACTCATTTAGGCAATAGGGTTGCGCTTGAGTAAAATTAAGCTCCATTTGAATAGGCTTGGAAATACAATGATATATATATATATATATATATATATAAAAATTAATATTTATTTTCAATAATTAAATAAATTATTTTTTAAATGAAATTTCACTAAAATTATAAAGACAAAAAAATTAAAAGGATAAATTACAACAAAACAACAACTCTTTAAAGTTCAATTTTTTTATTTTATTTCAAAAACTAACAAAGAGTGCCTAGTTACTTATTTTTTAAAAGAATAAAGGATAAAAAAATTTCGCTTTTGACTCAAATTTTACTTTGATCACTATTATTGTGTCAATTTGATTTCTATATTTTAAATACAGTTTCAATCTAATTAAACGCCGTTACGTAACAGTTGTGATGGTTACCGCCACCCGTTACGGCCGCTTTTGCGGTGTGATTGAGATTTACAAGTATGTTGACCGTAGCGACTGCCGCAGCGGTCGTAACGGTGCTACAGTGCTATAACGGCCTGTTACACACCGTTACGTAATGGTTCCAAACTGCTTCTTTCGAAAAAAGAAAAAAAAAAAAGAAGAAGCTAAAAATGGGGAACAAAGGATAGAGGGAGAAGATGGAAGATGAAGAGGGAAGATGGAGGCGTAAGAGATAGAGAGAGAAGAGAAAAGATGAAGAACATATTATTGATTTGTTAAAGGTGTAAGACCTATGCTATTATATTCAACTGCTATCACTCAACTATTTTATTTATGTGTGTCTATCTATATATTGTTTAATAATAATAATAATAATAATAAGTGTAGTTATTATCTATTTGGCTTGATTAAAATAAATATATATATTTAGACTTTTATTTATTTTCTTACTTTTATCATTGTTTATCTTATATATAATAGTTAGTGATTAATTTTTTTGTAAAATATCGACAAAACATAACTCCTATAATTAAATATTAATACATATTTTATATATGTCAATTTTTTTTATTAGTTTATTTTATTTTTATTTACAGGTTATCCAAAAAGATAATAAATATTCAAGTGATCTAAACTTAAAAAAAAATAAAAAAAAATCTTTATAATTTATTTTTTAATTTTTATATAATTACATTAGCATGTATAATTTGTTATTTAAAACTATTCAAGTTAACATTTGCATATGCTTCCACAAGTATAATAATTAAAAAAATAATTTTATACATCTAAGTCTAATATTTTTTTTTTTTTTTTTTTTTTTTTTTTGCCACAAACGTAATATGAATTTATGACATATAAAGTTATTAATTATTAAAATAAAATGTAAAAAACTCAGTTTATAGTGATTTAAAAATATGAAATATATTGGATCATACTTAAAAACTTACAAAAATTGATCAATATTTATTTTAAAACCCAATAAATATGATTATGGAAAAAAAATGTGTATCGGTAAGTTTTTTTCAAATTGTGTGAAAAATAAAAAAATTCACGATTCCAATTACCGCAATCGTTACACTATGGCCTTTACACCCTGCAACCACAACCGCACCACTGCTACCATTACGGCGACTACAACCGCTTTTCAAAACCTTGAGCTAAACTCTCTGCAATTGAGTTGACAAACACATATAAACCAAGTAAACAAGGTTAAAACATCTTGAGTGATAAAGAAACAATGCAATTGAAGTATAGTCAATTGCTAACATTTAATTGAAGTTATTAAAGAAGCGTTGGTAGATTAGGTTTTTATTTTCATTTTTATTTTTAAATTAAATCTAAAACTAATCAATAATGATTAACACTTGCCAACCAAATGTCTTCCCCAAAAACATTCCGTTGATCAGAATCAATCTTCCAAAGTGTTTGACAAGTTTTCTTAACCAAAAAGATGTGTAAAGGAGCTAAAAGTTTTGCCCCAATAAATTCTCCAAATAACCAAGCCCACGGATGGAAGTGGAGCACTTTCCCCACAATGGAATTTGATTTATCAATTTAAAATTGAGGGGCACTGCAACATACAAAATGGAAGATTGTATGTCGCATTAAAGTCATTGCAAAAAAATCACATCACCAGGAAGAAAATCAAAATGGGTTTAATTATTATGCCCTAAAATGGCTTTACTTAATGTTTTAACTCAACTGACTCGATAGCGAACATGGATCAGGACCATCTCCACACCCTAACTTCTAACTTTCAGAATCCTCTGAATTGTGATGTCGGATGTGGATATCAGCTCTGAAAATGGAAGGGACATCATTTCAAGCCATTAGGGGTTCAAATCAAAAACAATTTCATGGCCAAACAGCTCATAGAATCATCACAAGAAGGCGGAAGAGTCGTAACGGTTCGGAGAGGACCCAAACCCTTGTAAATCAATACAAAAAAAAGCGATTTCAAGGCAATTTAAATGACCACCCCCTCCCCCCCAAAAAAAAAAAAATAGTCCCCAATTTTTCTCAAATTACATGTTGATTTGAACATTGATAACCAAATCAAAAAGAACAGAAATAATCGAAATGTATACATGCAAGAACAAATACATAGATACAAATCTCCAATGGTTATTTTAAATGGAGAGAGAAAGAGAGAGAAAAAGGGTACCCTCGTTGTTGAGATCCGTGTTGCTGATCTTGTCACAGAGATTGAAAACCCTGAAAAGAAAATCCAAAAACAGATCAGAATGCTTGAAACTAAAACATAAAAAAGTACAGATACCCAGAAAATAAAAATAAAAAGAAGGGAAAATTGAAAATCTTTGAATAAACATGGATTAATTAATCAAACCACTCTATACCTTCGGGCTTTTTTTTTTTTTTTTTTTTTAATGTTCCGTACAGTTGACGACAGACCCTTTTTCCTAGGGTTTGAGAAGCGCTCTCTCAGGTGCCAAACCAAACCCAGCAAACCGCAACGAAGATTGTCTGTTTGTTTGTCAACCCCAGAAAGCGAGAGTTCGACTCTGACTCTCTCTATTGTATGCCGGGGAGTTTCTTTTTACACACCACATTTTGTCTCAAATAAGGAGAGCTTGAAGAAATATTTGAACGTAGATTTTCAAATTTTACTTGCCATGTTATTTAGAGAAATTATGTGAATGAATCATTTTTCTATTATTAAATAGGTATAGTGGTCTTCTCTATATTTTTATCGACTTGGTTGCAGAAAATAATTTTGTTTTTACTGCAAATGCCAAGATATATTTCCATGAACATTTGGATTGAAAGAGTAACGTGACTCCCATTCGCATTATATTTATAATATATTTTGTTTGTGGATTTGAGAAGAGATTTGTAAAGAAAATAAATAAATAAGTAAAATGTGTATAAAATATAATTATATTTCATCTATATTTTATACACTTTTTTTTTTTCATTTCAAATCATTTCTCAAATTCATAAATTGTGATGCAACACCACGCGCAGCGCGTGGGGGCCAACTAGTATTGATAAATGAATGACTACCTTGTCACCAATCAACAGTGACTGAATTTTTTTTTTAAATCTATTGTTTTGGAAGGTAGAACAAAGATTAATTTTTAAAAAATTTTAATACTGTTTTTAAAAAGTATATAAAAAAAAGTAAAAAGGTTAATTAACTCAAAAGAAATTAAAAGTTAAAAAGTTATTTTCAACCTCTTTACTAAAAGAGAATTAACTTTTCAGGCTAAGGGCTCGTTTGGGAATCGGTTAATTCTGTAATTTTTTAGCTATTTCGTTAAAATATGAGATAAAAAAAACTAGTATGTTTAGGATGACTTTTTGACTTTTTATGAAAAGATATGCAAAAAGTAGAAAGAAAATAGAATCTTTAATTTTTTTGTATCGGTTGTTGGCTTTTTGATTTTTTTAGTAACTTTTTAGCTAAAAAAATCACTTGCCAAACGAGGCCTAAGTTAATCTGCTAAAAAGTTTTTTTAGAAGAGTTTTTGACCTTTTTATAATTTTTAAAGAGTTCTTGATTTATAATTTTTTGGGAGAAAAAAATAAAATGATTATGATTTAAATGTAATATTTTATTTTATTAATTTATTTTAATAAGTTAAATTAATCCCAATTTACTTTCCAAACAGGCCTTCAGTTATACATTTTTAACTTATTATTTAAAATTAAATAAGTTTGAAGATTTATTAAATAAAATAAAATATTATTGATTAATCCTTATCAAGTGTTCGTGAGACACTTGTCAGTAACCCTTTGTTATTCTTGCAAGCACTTTTTCCAACTAATGATATTGGCTCCCAATTAGGATAGATGCGGGTTAGTTGCTGTCATAGAATCTTTAATTTATTATTCGTTCGTTAAATTGGTAGATTAGAGAAAATTAATCTGTATTCGTCTACCAATTCGGTAGATATGGATTGAGCGAATTGACAAATTGACAAATGGATGCGAATCGGTTTAGCGGTTTAAAATTTTATAAATTTTCAACATAATTCAAATTATGCACTTCTTCAAAAAAAAAATAATTTGCAGTCAATGACTGAAAAAAGTATTACAATCACTGTATGTCTCATTCAAATAAAAAAAGTTTAAAACTTTAGAATATTACTATCACTGCATGTCTCATCCACATATTACAATCACAGCATACTTCATTCACATAAAGTATTACAATATGTGGTTCTTAAAATATAAAAACAATTCCAACCACCAAAACCATGAATAGATAGGGGTGTAATTTTGGCTCGTGGCCCGCGGGCGGCCTGAAGCCCGCCCGCGGCCCAAGGTGGGCCTGGCCAATTTAGGCCCGAGCCCAAGCCCAGCCCGATGCCTTGGGCCAGGGCTTGGGCTAGGGCTAGGGCCCTCGTTTTGAAGCTCGGCCTGGCCCATTGGCCCTTCCAAAAGCCCGACTCGAGGCCCGGCTCGCCCGATGCCTAGTATTTTTTTTAATGAAGAATAATAAAATTTTGGTGGAAAAAATAAAATAAAAATAAAAAAAATTGTTTAGGCCCGCCCGAGTCCGAGCCCAAGCCCAAGCCCGAGCCCGAGCTCGAGCCCAAGCCCAAGCCCAAGCCCATGGGCCCCGCTCGAGACTCGGCCCACTAGCCCACCTAAAGCCCGAATACCCCTAGGGCCTGGGCCTAGTTTTTTGGCCCGTGGGCCGGACCGGCCCGACCCGATTTTTTGGCGAGAGCCCGCAAGGCCCGACATGGGCCCGGTCCGGCCCGAGCCCGACATGGGCCCGGTCTGGGCCAAAATTACATCCTTAATCTTGAGCTTATCCTAAGTTTTCTGTCCCACACCCACATGATAGAGTTGTCTCATATATGGGGGACTATTAGTCAAGATGGACTTACAGTTCGATGCAAAATTTATGAACCAAACAATCAACTATTCGATCCACTAGACTCTGAGTTTTATCCTATGCTCCTATCCCTCCAAACAAACGTATTTTAATTAATTTTTTTGTTCTAAAAATATAATTTTTACTTAAAAATTATTTAAAAATTCACTAAACCCCTCACTCAAATTCTAATATGTCACGATCCAAACCCGCCCCTATGGGTTTAGCACCGTAACCGGCCAATAATCCGAGATTGCCGAAGGCCTGCTTAACAGTAATATAGTAATACAGAGTACAGGGGCTTGCGGAAGCCAAAACAGTAATTAAAATATGTCCAATGAGCTGTGACAGTCTGTATGCAAAAAGACTTTTCATATATATATATATATATATATATACAATCAATACCAAAACAGTATGTACAATATATATACAATTATTCAGGACAGGGACTTAATCCCTATTAGAACAGTACAGTACAACATTATTCAATCTATACAGTATTACAAAACCGGTATAGAGACAGATGGGGGAAAATTAAAACACCCCAAAAGCCGTAGCTTGACAGGCTCGGAACTTCGCAGTGAGGCACAGTGGTTGGCTTTGACAAAAAGGAGTCTAACCCACGCTCCTAGCTCCGGTCTGGTGCCTGAACACCTACATATACATAAACAGTGAGCTAAAGCCCAGTGAATAACATAATGTGTAAAGAGGTTAAGAATGAATGTCCTTACAGTAACGAAAACAGTTCATTGAATCAGTATATCAGTCATTCAATCATAACAGTCATATGTGATGCATCCATTAGCAGAACAGTACAGTAAACAGTAGGTCTTAAAAGACCGAACAGTCAATGATGGCCATCGTAACAGTAAACAGAAGTTCCAAGATAGGAACTGACAGAGATCTCTGTAACAGTAGCAGTAACAGTAACAATAGTTGCTAAGGATGCCACAATACAGTTCAGAATAGAGGACAAACATTCATTCAGTTAACAGTAAACAGTTCCGAAAACAGTTTAGTTGATCATTTAGAAAATACTCATTTTCGAACATATCTTTACAACATTGTTACTCACAGAGCTCTGGGCTATAAGCAGCTAGAGCGCGTCTCCGAAAGCCAACCCTATACAGTGATAGAACAAACACACACTAAGTTACATATTCAGGAATCAAAGACGTAGTCCCTACTTTGGCTCAGTGTGGTTCTACATCAATATCCTCAATAAGATGCCTTAAACTAGGCCTAAGAATGCCTAGGATGAAATGAGGATGCAAAGATGCCCTTTTAAAACACTTAACAAATTTTCAGAAAACAGGGGTCCCGCTCGAGCGTGGGTTTACCCGCTCGAGCATACAGGCAAACAAAATACTCTGCTTGAGCGCGAGTTACCATGCTCGAGCGGACTGTAAAACATGCCAAAAGTACTGGATGTGTGAAAATCATGCTCGATTGGGCGCTCGATACCCGCTCGAGCGTGTGACATAAGTCCTCACTCGAGCGTCCAATACCCCGCTTGAGCGGACTGTAAAACAGTGTAAAGTGCTGTATGCACGAATTTCACGCTCGAGCGCCAGCCACTCCGCTCGAGTGTGAGTCCAAAATCTGGAATTTCTAGATTTGAACCTCAAGCTCAAAAACAAGTTTCAATGTACCAAATTCGATCCTTTTGGGCTAATTTTCTAGAAAACACTTCAAAACTCATAATATAACATGTTTCAAAGATCAATTTGAGAAATCAAATCCCAAAGGTAGTTCAATTAAACACAATTTTGAGCCAAAATTCGTGAACATGACTTCAATGCAACGTGCATGCATTTAACTAGCTCCCAAGCTTCAAACCATGCTCTAATGAGCCAATTCTTTTAAAAACATGGTGAATTCATGCACTAGAACTCTAATATGAACATGCATGTAACAATTTTCCATGAAAACAACTTTAAACTCATCAATATAGGCATGCATGCAGGATATATGCTATAATTCAACATCACAAGACCAAATCTCGACTTTAAACTCCAATATGACAAGAGCCATACAAGAACTAACTCAATTACATGAACAAGAAGGTGAAGACTCTACCTTAAATCTTGAATTATAAGAAAGGAAGCTCAATTTGCCAAATTCTCGTCAAAACTACTAAGTTTCCAAGCAATACAAGATGAAGACAAGTTTCTCCTAGCTCCCTCCCTCTCTAGTCGGTTGAGTCTAAGGAAATGGCTGAGGAAATGTTTTGCCTAAGTGTATTCAAGCCTCAATATGTGTGAGCAAGTCGTGGACTTGTCTCAGCGTGAGGAGGGCAAGGTCTCCAAAGACGCTACTCCTGTGAAGGCAACATCGGGCGCGTCTATTGCCGGCAAGAGCCTCGACCAAACTCTTCAAGAAATCGATGCCGAGCTCGCGGCTGAGAAGGCTGCCGAGATGTCTTCTCAGCTGTCTTCTGAACTCCAGACCCAACCAACCAAAGACGCCGAAGAGTCTTAGTTTGATGTTTTTCTCCTTTTTTCTGTACCTTGTACTTTTTTCTTTCTTTTTAAAATAGTGTAAGCTTTAATTTGGCGGCCACCTTTGCAATCTGAGCAATTACTTTTTAATGTCAGGTCGAAGTGCCTTTTTGTATTTGAACTTCCTTATCTGAATGCAAGTATCAACATATACCTTAACTGTGCAATCTTCTCG